TATTCATTCGGAAAGAGCGACTGTAAGCAATGAATAATGGTTTGTAGAATTTCTCTGAAAGGTGCATGGATCGGCGGTAAAACGATTGATGGAGTAGCGGTATTTTTTTTACTGGTATAATGCGGACATCTTTTTTTAAACTATTCGTTGATCATTTCAACTTTACGATATGATAACATAATGATAAGAGAACTTATATTATTGAATTTCATTTAACTCTCGCTCTGCTTTGTTGATTTAACTCATTGTTCTTCTCTACTTTACTTTTCCTTTTAAATTAACTTATACGTTTTGGTGCTAAAATTTTTTGAATTTAAAATTTCAATATCTTATTGGCATTTAATTTCCGAGCACAAATCGTATTGCTGATCAAAAATTGTTTTCATATAGAAACAACATCTAGTGCTATAATTCATTCATAGCTTCTTGTCATTGACAGTTGGCCAAAAATATGAAAGGTATGTGAATTTGTACGTATAACATCAGAGAATGAATAATTGAAGCATAGAATAAATAAAATTATTTTATGCAAAGTTAAAAATTATTATTTTTTTCTTCAAATTCTATTTTAAATAAATTCCGTTTGCCTACTTTCTATTTCATTTATTATTGTTACTTTTTCTGCTTTTCATTCTTTTCATAACTTTATATATGTATGAATTGATTTTTGTACAAAACCTCACAACTTACTGAAATAATTTTCTTTTACGTTTTCGATGTTACAAAAAAAAAAAATAGTATAATAGTAATTCAAGCAGTGGCATAATAATAGAAATTTTGATAATAACAACTTGTAGGTCTAATTTAATAAATATGTTCCGGTAATAGAGAATTTGCTCCATCGGCGATTGAATTTTGTTTATATCTCCATCTGATTTTTTACTTTCGTCGTATTTCGTTGCTTTGTTAAAAAGGAATTTAAAAATAAAAAAATTTCTGCTTGTCAAAAATTAAATTTTTTTTTCATTTAAAACAAAAAAAAGATGAGAATTGGTAAATTATAAGCGAAACTGATAGTATAATTTAACAAAGAATAGTCAATGAATAGTAAACAAATGTTATGCATCGTCATCATTGATTAATTAATTAATTTAAATCAATCCCCATCAAATAATGACTCGGAAACTTATTATTCTTCAGTCAAAAAGTTACTTTCACTTGATGAAAACTAATTCAATCAAGCTTTTTGCTTTCTTTTTGCTATCATTCTTAAAACAAAATGGAATTAAAGCAAACTATAAATGGTGACGAAACGGTTGTTTGTTGGATTTATACAAAAATTTTTCATCAGAAACATTCAAATGAACTGACCGTTAATTTTTTTCTGCTTTATCATTAAAAGAAAACTTAAGCAATCACTAGCTAATAGGGAAGTCATTTAGTGCAGCAAAGAATAGAAGAATTTCTCTTAAAATTTGTCTGTATAAAGAGGAATCTCCTCTCCCTCAGATGTACTTCCTCAATTTTTCTAATAATAATTTCGATTAACGATAATTTTATCTCAATAAAATTAACATTGCTACTTCACAAAGTACTCCCTATTTGGCTCTATAAATTAATCAAATCAGACCCCATTTCACGACAGGTAAGGTACAAAGCTCCCACTCAACTCATTTTCATTTTCATTCTGAATTGATAACTGGACACTTTCAATTTCTCTTCAGTCCAATTGAAGATCTAGTAATTAAAGTTAACATACAATAATCGGTGAAAAAAACTTTGCAAAACAACTCTCAAATCCACATAACAGCCAAAACATCTAGGCTTGATTGAATTCTATCTGAAATCTGAAAGCAGAGGTCAGTTACTCAATTTCCATAAGCTATTATGCACTTCTGGGAGAACAAAGCAAACTATCACTGAACTTTCCAGAAAGCGTAGGAAGAAAGGAGAGCAAGTAGTAAGTATCGGTCGTTGCAGCAAATGAAACGGAAAAAGTTGTTTCAAATGACAGTACATTAAGAAAGGAAAAAGTTCAGAACTGATCAGTGATGAAATAAGCTTCTCAAAGAAACAAATAATTTTTTTTTTTCAAATTTTCAATTTGTGTAGAGCACATCGCCCATTTCATTTCCAAATTATTAGTGACTTACGCACAGTTTAATAAATCCCAACTGTCCGTAATAAATTTTAAATATTCAACTGCATGCAAGTATGAAAACACCTATGTAATGTGTATGTGCAACACTATTTCAGAATTAGCAACCTTATTCCACCTTTAACAGTCTGTCACCGATATGCCAAAATTGGTGAGCGACCCATTTAATCGTTTTTGGTAATACCATTAAAGAAAAGAAAGAGGCGGAAGTACGGACAAAAACTGTTTTTCAATATCAGAAAAGTTTGTATTATAACAAAATAAGAAAACAAACCAATCGTTTAATTTATTTTATTGTAACAAAATTCATCTATCTAAACAGATAGAACAATAATACGGTGAATTTTCTCAAAGCAATGCATGTTGTCCCCAAGTTTTGGATGAGAAATGCAATTTTGGAACACAATGCTTTCAATTCAATTCAATTTCCATTTCAGCTAGAAAATTCTGTAGAAGCAGAATGAAACAAGTAACACACAAATGTCTTTAAATTTTGCAGCACAACTCAAATTATTCAGTGTGGCAACAATTCCAGGGCTTTCCTACCGGACAAAAATTAAAAAACTTAATGCTTCTTCAAAGGTTGTATAAGGAGAAGGTTCTTTTGCAAAACGAAACCCTTTTAGAAATATTATGCGATTCTGGAGGGAGGATTTCACTGCCATAAAAATTAGGGAAAGAATTTGACCGAGATTTCTCGAATCATAAACTGCTTGATGCTTGGCTAATTCATAGAGTACACTTGTATTGTTGATTTGAATGATTGTTAATTAGTGCTTAAAATTCTATACTCAATTAAAAACTTTAAAAATGCAAGCATTTACTATTTTGATTCGCAGTCCATTACTTTCTTTTAGTTCAAATTTGATTAATCGAGATGGTGAAAATGAAGAAAGAAATTATTTTCCTTCTTATCATTGCTTTTTCATCCTTCACAAAGGTATTAAATTTGTTTCAATTTTTTGGAAAACAATCTGTTTCCACTGAAATAGTCTCTGGTTTCACGTCCCGTAGGAAATCAAACTGCCTTTTTGTGAGCTTCTTTAAATGAACATTTTCACTATCACAAATTTTGTAACTTGTGATTTTTTTAGGCGACAACTCCAGAAATTACGGCGGTAACAACAGCCTTTTTCACATTAACTCAGACAATAACAGCAAGAAGAGTTTCTTCAACAACAATGACAGCATTGTCAGCCGAAAATAAGAAAAATTCCCCTTCTCAACTGCTTGTCCAACAAATAGAAAAAGGACAGTCTCTTCTCCAAGAACTCCTGGAACAACAGCCTCACCAACAACTTCAACATCTACTCGAACAACTACAAAAAAACCACTCGCACTTTCAGAAGCTTCTTCAACGGCAACAGGAACTTCGTCAGCAACTTGAACAGAGTCCTAGCTGTGAAAATAAACTACAACTTCTTCATAAACTGCATAGTACCCTTCAGCAACTTCAAAAACAACAACAATTTCTGAATCAACTTCAAGAAAAACAAGAAGTTATTCTTCAGAAACTTCTTCAACGACAACAAACTGTCCAATCTTTACTGAAACAACTACCTGATCAGCAAAAATTACTCGAAGAACAACAACCTATTCTTCAACAATTTTTGCAGCAGCAACTGCTTTCTCCAAAACAAACACTGCAGCCATCGACTTTGCATCAAGAAGCACTTGAACTTCAAAAACAAATGCAACAAAATCACGAGCAATCTCGACATCAAGATCAAAATAATCTTAAAAATCAAATTCAGAAGCAAGAACAGCATCTTCAACTGCTTCAGCAACACGGTGATTTATCTGCAAAACTTTGGCAACAGGGACAAGTACTCTTTCAACAGCTTCAACATAAAGTGCTACTGATTCAGCTACTAAAACAGCCTCATTATTATCAGCAATTACTTCAAGAACAACAATCTCTTCTTCAACAATTTCTACAGCTACAACAACAACTTCTTCAACAATACCAACAGCAACAACCACTTATTCAGCAGTTCATCCAACAACAACAACAACTTGTGGATCTTATGGAGCAACAACAACAACTTGTTGTACAAATACTTCTAGAACCACCGAAAATGCATAATCTCCTTCAGCAACTTGAGCAACCACAAGCTCAATACCAACAACTTATGCAACAACAACAAGAACTTCTCCAACAACTACAGCAGAAACAATCTTCACTTCAACAACTTCTCCAAAAACAAAAGCCTGTCGTTGAAGGACTTCTGAAAAGCAAACAACAATTGGATTCTCTTCTCAAAATTTTAAAACAACACCAGAAATAATCATTTCTCAAACAATCACAGTATCAAAAATAAGTGATTTCGTTTTCTTATGGGATATCTGTTTTATTTTTTTATTTTTTCTAATCAACGCTGCAATTTACAATTTATTTTTCAAAATTTCCACATAAAATTGTTCAGTGATTTCCTGCTTCATTAATTTCGAATCAAAGTATTGAACTAATCTAAACAACTACCAACTTCTCTGCAACAAAATTATATTTTACAGTGGAAAAAGAAGTAACTTGTGGAACTATTACTATAACTACAAAAATATGAAAAATATCCGCCAAAAAATTTTTCGATGTGTAAATTTTAATGAATAAAAATTACATTTCAATACGACTTTTATGTGTGTTGTTTTACTTATAACTTCAGTTTACTTATATTTTAGCTGAGCAATAAACTTTGATGCGACAATTAACAATAACTGACAGTTTTATTCTAAACTGCAAAGATATCATTTGTACAATTTAATTTGTTTATTTAATATCATTTTTGGTTCAGCAATTTCAGCACAATAATTTTATGTAATATCACAGTATCTCGAGCTGATATAATTGATGAGAAACTTTGACTATGAGTAAACCAACTAAAAATCGGTTTAATCCTAATAAAATGAATATTGGAAATATACTAAGCAGTTTGGTCATAAAAGCAAAAAAGAGAGTTTTTTGTTTATTACTCTTTAGTTAATCATTTTCAGCATTAAATAATGCAGAAGTTATTAAATAGTACAATAAATTAATAAATTAGCAAGGAAGAGTTGGAAATAATTACTGGTTAGGAAGACAAAACATGAAGAAACGTTGTTAGTTATTCCATGCGAACGAGGAAAATTCGAGAGGACATTAATGATTTTGGATATGAGAAGCGAATGCAACTTGGTCACTGAAATAATGGCCAACAAATTAGGTCTGTTGTTAGAGAAATCTAGTAATAAATAAAGATTACAGGTATTGCTAGTAACATTAGGAACTAGAACATCATCGGAACAATAAAGAATATTTCAAAATATACTACAGAATTGATTATGATGGTAGAATAAGGTTAGAGGAGACATATCTGGAAATGGACCAAGATGAAAATGGCAATCAGTAAAATAACGAAGTTTGAAAGAAAGATTGGGAGAATGAAGAGAATCAGAGAACTAATAGAAAGAAAAATGTAAACTAGAGATTATTGGAATCGAAGAATTGATGACAAGACAGAGAGAAGTACGGAATGCTTTTCTAAATGCTTTAAGATGAAGTTATTGAAAAGATGAAGAAAGAATCTGCATTAGACTGTGATAAGCCCATAGAAAACCACCTGCGAGTTTTATTTGATACTTTAGCAAAGACATACATAGATTATTGGTAGGAATAATATTATGCAAAGAAAAGTAATTCTAGAAGTAGTCTCTCTATAAGAATAATATGGTCATTCTTAGAGTATTCCATCAATGCATTAGGATTCATTGAAGTTTAAAAGTGTTTGGTATTATTCATGGCACAAATTAGAATGAATAATTGTTGGTCATTAGCATGTACACTTCTATCTTATAGAATTAAACTAATTGTTTGAAATCGCTTTTGTTTTTCCTTTAGTTTTTATTTGCCATCTAAGTTACGCAGAGTTACTGAATATGAATATGAATACTAGATATATACGATTTTTATATCTTTAAAAGAAATTACTTCCAACTATTCCTTACCATTTTATTAATTTGTTGTGCTGTTTTAACTCTGTTACAGAAACAAGCAACTTTTGCATTATTTAATGATGAAAATGATTAAAGTATTAAACAAAAAACACTCCTTTCTTGCTTTTATGACCGAACTACTTAGTTTTCAATATTTTCATATTTTTAAGATTAAACTGAATATTCATATTATTAGGATTAAACCGATTTTTAGTTGGTTTACTCATAGTCAAAGTTTCTCATCAATTATATAAGCTCGAGATACTGTGATATTAGATAAAATTATTGTGATGAAATTGCTGAACCAAAAATGATATTAAATAAACAAATTATACTGCACAAATGATATCTTTGCAGTTTAGAATAAAACTGTCAGTTATTGTTAATTGTCGCATCAAAGTTTATTGCTTAGCTCCAATAGCATAAACTTAAATTGAAAGTAAAACAACACACTGAAAATCACATTCAAATGTAATTTTGCTTTAACTACTGCAGCAAAGAACAAAAAAGAAAAAAAAAAATAATTGGCTTATATCCATAATTAAAACGTTAGTTAAACATAAATATTAAAAACAAAAATATCGATATAAAAGTTGAGAATACTTCATTTTTCCTTTATTTAAGTTTTGGGTGATAATACTGGTATCGTTATTAAAATTATTTTTGAAATTCCTGGATTCGTTGTTGCAGCAAACATTTCATAAATTGAAAGTTTAATTACCTGCATTTGAGATATTAAGGGAAGAACAAAAGAAGCAAAAACAGCCTTCTATCTTTGTTACTATCAGAAAGAAACTGGCAACATCTTTAATTTTAAATTAGTCATTTAGATCAGACTTTCCACGAATATTTAAGAGAATAGTTATGCATTTCAAATCGTAAGCTGAGCATTTTAAATTGGTTGTTAGCAACGATAATTGGGTATTAATTAGTAAGTCCTTCGCTAATTTTGTCGTTTGGTATCGATTTTGCGTGGAATTTGAGTTTGTCCGTGCTTTTTTGAAAAATTTTTCTTAATTAGCAGCGAAAATTCTACAGGTTAATATCCTGAAAATTCTGCATTATTATTCATTCGGAAAGAACGACTGTAAGCAATGGATAATGGTTTGTTGAATTTCTCTGAAAGATTGCACGAATCGGCGGTAAAACGATTGATGGAGTAGCGGTATTTTTTAACTGGTATAATGCGGACATCTTTTTTTAAACTATTCGTTGATCATTTCAACTTTATGATATGATAACATAATGATAAGAGAATTATATTATTGAATTTCATTTAACTCTCGCTCTGCTTTGTTGATTTAACTCATTGTTCTTCTCTACTTTACTTCTCCTTTGAAATTAACTTATACGTTTTGGTACTAAAATTTTTTGAATTTAAAATTTCAATATCTTATTGGCATTTAATTTCCGAGCACAAATCGTATTGCTGATCAAAAATTCTTTTCATATAGAAACAACATCTAGTGTTATAATTCATTCGTAGCTTCTTTTCATTGACAGTTAGTCAAAAATATGAAAGGTATGTGAATTTTGTACGTATAACATCAGAGAATGAATAATTGAAGCATTGCTATAAATAGAATAAATAAAATTATTTTATGCAAAGTTAAAAATTATTATTTTTTTCTTCAAATTCTATTTTAAATAAATTCTGTTTTTCTACTTTCTATTCCATTTATTATTGTTACTTTTTCTGCTTTTCATTCTTTTCATAATTTTATATATGTATGAAATCATTTTTATACAAAACCTCACAATTTACTGAAATAATTTTCTTTTACGTTTTCGATGTTGCAAAAAAAAAAAAAATAATAGTAATTCAAGCAGTGGCATAATAATAGAATTTTTGATAATAACAACTTGAGGGTCTAATTTATTAAATATTTTCCGGATGCACTATTAATAGAGGATTTGCTCCATCGGCGATTGAATTTTGTTTATATCTCCATCTGATTTTTTACTTTGATCATATTTCGTTGCCTTGCTAAAAAAGAATTAAAAAAAAATTCTGCTTGTCAAAAATTAAATTTTTTTTTCATTTAAAAGAAAAAAAGGTGAGAATTGGTAAATTATGAGCAACAACTGATAGTATAATTTAGCAAAGAATAGTCAATGAAAAGTTAACAAATGTCATGAATCGTTATCATTGATTAATTAATTAATTTAAATCAATCCCCATCAAATAATGACTCGGAAACTTATTATTCTTCAGTGCAAAAAGTTACTTTCACTTGATGAAAACTAATTCAATCAAGCTTTTTGCTATCATTCTTAAAACAAAATGGAATTAAAGCAAACTATAAATGGTGACGAAACGGTTGTTTGTTGGATTTATACAAAATTTTTCATCAGAAACATTCAAATGAACTGACCATTAATTTTTTTCTGCTTTATCATTAAAAGAAAACTTAAGCAATCACTAGCTAATAGGGAAGTCATTTAGTGCAGCAAAGAATAGAAGAATTTCTCTTAAAATTTGTCTGTATAAAGAGGAATCTCCTCTCCCTCAGATGTACTTCCTCAATTTTTCTAATAATAATTTCGATTAACGATAATTTTATCTCAATAAAATAAGATTACTGTTAACATTGCTACTTCACAAAGTACTCCCTATTTGGCTCTATAAATTACTCAAATCAGACCCCATTTCACGACAAGTAAGGTACAAAACATCCACTCAACGCATATAATCAAACTTACTTTCATTTTCATTCTGAACTGATAGCTGGACACTTTCAATTTCTCTTCAGTCCAATTGAAGACCTAGTAATTAAAGATAACATACAATAATCGGTGAAAAAAAATTTGCAAGCAACTCGCAAATTCATATAACAGCCAAAACATCTAGGCTTGATGGAATTCCATGTGAAATCTGAAAGCAGAGGTTAATTACTCAATTTCCATAAGCTATTATGCACTTCTGGGAACAAAGCAAACTATCACTGAACTTTCTAGAAAGCGTAGGAAGAAAGGAGAGCAAGTAGTAAGTATCGGTCGTTGCAGCAAATGAAACGAAAAAATGTTTCAAATGACAGTACATTAAGAAAGGAAAAAGTTTATTCATCACTGATCGGAATGATGGCTGAAGCTTCTCAAAGAAACAAATAATTTTTTTTTTCAAATTTTCAATTTGTGTAGAGCACATCGCCCATTTCATTTCCAATTATTAGTGACTTACGCACAGTTTGATAAATCCAACTGTCCGTAATAAATTTTAAATATTCAACTGCATGCAAGTATGCAAACACCTATGTAATGCTAATGTAATGTGTTATGTGCAACACTATTTCAGAATTAACAGTCTGTCACTGAAGTGCCAAAATTGGTGAGCGATCAGTCTAATCGTTTTTGGTAATACCTTTAAAGAAAAGAAAGAGGCGGAAGCACGGACAAAAACCGTTTTTCAATATCAGAAAAGTTTGTATTATAACAAAATAAGAAAACAAACCAATCGTTTAATTTATTTTATTGTAATAAAATTCATCTATCTAAACAGAAAGAACAATAATACGGTGAATTTTCTCAAAGCAATGCATGTTGTCCCAAGTTTTGGATGAGAAATGCAATTTTGGAACACAATGCTTTCAATTCAATTCAATCCATTTCAACTGGAAAATTCTGCAGAAGCAGAATGAAACAAGTAACACAAATGTCTTTAAATTTTGCAGCACAATTCAAATTATTCAGTGTGGCAACAATTCCAGGGCTTTCCTATGAACAAAAATTAAAAAACTTAATGCTTTTTCATAGTTTCTCAAAGGTTGCATAAGGAGAAGGTTCTTTTGAAAATGAAACCCTTTTAGAAATATTATGCGATTCTGGAGGGAGGATTTCACTGCTATAGAAAGTAAGGAAAGAATTTGACCGAGATTTCTCGAATCATAAACTGCTTGGTACTTGGCTAATCCAAATAGTACACTTGTATTGTTGATTTGAATGATTGTTAATTAGTGCTTAAAATTCTATACTCAATTGAAAACTTTAAAAATGCAAGCATTTATTGTTTTGATTCGCAGTCAATTATTTTCTTTTAGTTCAAATTCGATTAATCGAGATGGTGAAAATGAAGAAAGGAATCATTTTCCTTCTTATCATTGCTTTTCATCCTTCACAAAGGTATTAAATTTGTTTCAATTTTTGGAAAACAATTCTGAAATAGGCTCTGGTTTCACGTCCCGTAGGAAATCAAACTGCCTTTTTGTGAGCTTCTTTAAATGAACATTTTCACTATCACAAATTTTGTAACTTGTGATTTTTTTAGGCGACAACTCCAGAAATTATGGTAGTAACAACAGCCTTTTTCACATTAACTCAGACAGTAGCAGCAAGAACAGTTTCTTCAACAACAATGACAGCATTGTCAACCGAAAATAAGAAAAAATCCCCTCCTCAACTGCTTGTCCAACAAATAGAAAAAGAACAATCTCTTCTTCAAAAACTCCTGGAACAACAAAACCCTGTGCCTCACCAACTTCAGCTTCAACAGCTACTCGAACAACTACAACAAAACCACTCGCACATTCAAAATCGTCTTCAACAGCAAGAGAAACTTCGTCAGCAACTTGGGCAGCACAACTGTGAAATTATGCAACAATTCCTTCATAACCAGCAGATTACTCTTCAAAAACTTCAACAACAACAACCATTTATGAATCAACTTCAAGAACAACAAAAAGTTATTCTTCAGAAACTTCTTCAGCAACAACAGACTGTTCAAACTCTACTGCAGCAACTACCTGATCAGCAAATTTTGCAGCAACAACTGAATTCTCTAAAACAAACAATGCAGCCATTGACTGTGCAGCAAGAAGCGTTTGACCTTCAAAAACAAATGGAACGAAATCACGAGCAATCTCGACATCAAGATCAAAGTAATCTTAAAAATCAAATTCAGAAGCACGAACAACATCTTCAACTGCTTCAGCAACTCCGTAATATATCTACAAAAGTTCAACAACAGAGACAACTATTTCATCAACAGCTTCAACATATAGTGCAACTAGTTCAGCTTTCACTACAGCAACCTATTTATCAGCAACTTCAACAACTTCTACAGCTACAACAACAACTTCTTGAACAATACCAACAACAACAACTACTTATTCAGCAGCTCCTCCAACAACAACAACAACTTGTGGATCTTATGGAGCAGCAAAAACAACTTGTTGTACAAATGTTTCTAGAACCTCCACAAATGCAAGCTTTCCTTCAACAACTTCAGCAAGAACAAGTCCAATTCCAACAACTTATGCAACAACAACAACAACTTCTCCAACAACTACAGCAGAAGCAACGTTCACTTCAGCAGGATCTCCAAAAACAGCAGTCTGTGTTTGAAAACCTTTTGAAAAGCAAAAAAATTCTTCTCCAAAATTTAAAGCCATAACTGGATTTGCTCCAGCACCAGAAATGAATGTTTCTCAAACAACCACAGCATCTACAATAAATGATTTCTTGTTCTTGTGAGATTTTTTTTCTTTTGATGATTTCTATATTTTCATTTTCTCTTTATCAGCATGTCAACACGCTGCGATTTATAATTTCTTTTCCAAAATTTTCATATAAACTTAATCAATGATTTCCTTCTTCATCAATTCCTAACATAATATCACACTGATCTAAACAATCACTAATGTTTCTGCAACAGAAACTATATTTTACAGTGGAAAGAAATAAGCAGCGTGTGGAAATATGGAATTTTTTCCGATGTAGAAATTATGATGAAAGCAAAATTACATTTGAATGTGATTTTCAGTGTGTTTTTTTACTTTCAATTTAAGTTTATGCTATTGGAGCTAAGCAATAAACTTTGATACGACAATTAACAATAACTGACAGTTTTATTCTATAACTGCAAAGATATCATTTGTACAATTCAATTTGTTTATTTAATATCATTTTTGCTTCAGCAATTTCAGCAATAATTTTATGTAATATCACAGTATCTCGAGCTGATATAATTGATGAGAAACTTTGACTATGAGTAAACCAACTAAAAATCGGTTTAATCCTAATAATATGAATATTGGAAATATACTAAGTAGTTTGATCATAAAAGCAAAAAAGAGAGTTTTTTGTTTATTACTCTTTAGTTAATCATTTTCAGCATCAAATAATGCAAAAGTTATTAAAATAGCATAACAAATTAATAAAATGGTAAGGAATAATTGGAAGTAATTTCTTTTAAAGATATAAAAATCGTATATATCTAGTATTCATATTCATCTTCAGTAACTCTGCGTAACTTAGATGGCAAATAAAAACTAAAGGAAAAACAAAAGCGATTTCAAACAATTAGTTTAATTCTATAAGATAGAAGTGTACATGCTAATGACCAACAATTATTCATTTTAATTTGTGCCATGAATAATACCAAACACTTTTAAACTTCAATGAATCCTAATGCATTATGGAATACTCTAAGAATGACCATATTATTCTTATAGAGAGACTACTTCTAGGAATACTTCTCTATACGTAATATTATTCCTACCAATAATCTATGTATGTCTTTGTTAAAGTATCAAATAAAACTCGCAGGTGGTTTTCTATGGGCTTATCACAGTCTAATGCAGATTCTTTCTTCATCTTTTCAATAACTTCATATTGAAATAAATCATTCAGATATTCATCGTAATCAGTTAGACTTCTTTTCACTGTCGTTTCAACCTTTCTTGAGTTAAGCTATGTCGTTTTGCTGACACGGGTCAACATCTTCGACGAAATTCAGTACTTCTCTCTGTCTTGTCATCAATTCTTCGATTGCAATAATCTCTAGTTTACATTTTTCCTTTTATTAGTCCACTGAGTTATCATGATTCTCTTCATTCTCCTAATCTTTCTTTCAAACTTCGTTATTTTACTGATTGCCATTTTCATCTTGGTCCATTTCCAGATATGTCTTCTCTAACCTTATTCTACCATCATAATCAATTCTGTAATATATGTTTGAATATTCTTTATTGTTCCGATGATGTTCTAATTCCAAATATTACTAGCAATACCTGTAATCTTTATTTATTACTAGATTTCTCTAACAATAGACCTAATTTGTTGGCCATTATTTCAGTGACCAAGTTGCAATCGCTTCTCATATCTAAAATCATTAATGTCCTTCTAGGTCGCATGGAATAACTAACATCGTTTCTTCATGTTTTGTCCTCTTAACCAAATTCTACTTCTATTTTCGACTTTTCTTGAGATTGTTTCTCCATCTCGATGGAACTTCCGTCTTGCCGGATCCTTCTCAGTACGTCACACAGCGTACTGTTTTGATCTGTGAAATAGTTAATATTTAAATATTTAATAATATTTTTCTTTGGATGAAACTTAAGCATTGCTTGCATCATCTCAAATCCTTTAACTTTTCTAGTCTCGCTACTACTTTTCGGTTATCATTCAACTGATAAATAGGCAGAAAATACCAAAAACTTTTGCCTTTCTTCTGAGGGTTTGAGTGCTGTCGCACAAATAGTTATTCATTTTTATTTATTGATAAATAAATTTAGACTGTGTTCTGAAAGCTAAAAACTCATTTCATGATGTCTCAGCAACTGTATAACTTTTATTTACCCTTCTAATATTACTATAACTTCCATTATCGAGACTTCGTCCACTTCTCCTTTATCAGGATTGCAAAAGAGATAATCTGGCAGCTTATCAGTCCACAGCTTATTTATCTCACTGTTCTCCTCTAATGTTTTTAATTTGAGAGAATGTTCGGTAGTTCCCTTATCAAATTTTTGTCTAATCCTGCCCAATTTCTGTAACGCAACTGCATAATTCCACTATTTTTCAAATTTCTCATAGCGAATATCATTGACAGCTAAGTTACTTACGTATTCTAAGTCAGTAATCATTGACAGTAAGTTACTTACGTATTCTAATGCCTCTGCTTTGAATCATCCAATTATAAGTGTAAAAATTCATTTATAGCTATAATGTCTTTTATCAATTGCATCAAATTGACTTATGAAGACAAACGGAAGTTTTGAATTTCCATCAAATCCTTTCTTCATTTCTGGAGTAGAAAAGATCGAACAGAAAGCAATTTGTGACAATTACTGAATAAGCATTCGATCTCGCAAACTTTTTTGTCTTTAACAGATCGTAATGCTTCTTTACATTCTTTTGTTAATATATTTGCCTTGGAAATGATTCTTTCAATTATTTTTAAATTTCTATTCATGAGTACTCTTCTTTCTAAAGATTTCGACTTATTTTGATTACTTAATTCTTGTATTTCTTCTGCATAAACACTTTCTGTCTTTTCGAAAACTAATTTATCTATCGGCGTAAGTTTGTTTAAATTCGTTCTAATAAGGTATAACATGAGCTTTTCATCTTGTTTATGCATCTGGTTGATGCTTTCATTCCTGGCTTGTGACGTCAAATTTGTCAACAGTTCTTTCTATCGTGATAGAAAGACTGAGAGAGTCAATTCTTCCCTTTTAGTTCTCGATTTGTCAAACTTTTATTCTGATAAAATGCTTAATACTGCAATGAACTTGGCAATTAGAATTTCAATAAGACAGCTGTAATAACGATATCGATAATAACATCCAACCCAAATAAATTTCTATAAATGAAATTGTTACTTTATCGAATAAAAGTACAGTCTCGCTATAAGATCACAAGAATTAGTATCTTTATGGCGGCTTCTGCTGGTACAAATGTAAAACAATGAACATATATGACACAAAGATATTTGTCTTTCAATAAACTTTCCTTTGTTTTCAATACTAGCAACAATCTCAGAATTGCTGCAATGAGATAATTCCCAGTCTAAACTCTGAACCAAACTTACAGATTACTCAATGTATTCCCTGCCAGCAGCACTTTGACAACGTAAAAAGTAGTATCAGCAGTTCTCCATAAAGAATTCATTGAAAATCTGTCCAGCAGTATTGCCGAAGAATACTTCCTTGCATGTGAATCAGAAGGTAATTCAATATTTATAATCAAAGATTGATTCCACATTACTACTCATCATTTAATATGAATAAAATCAAATATTTTTGTATTATTTCAGTTAGTAATGCAAACAAAACAGTTATCAAATATATGTAATATGTTTACGACCGTTGTCGGGCAGAATGGACTAACCAGCAGCCATTGGGCAGTCATTTTAAAGAGTGACAATTTCGGATGCGGGCAGATGGAACTCATTTAACCCTTTAAAGTTATTCATCTAACAGACCAGCCTACTACCTCAATATTTCGCAGCTATGGCCCAAACTTGCAAATTAAAAATAGCATCCTGTAGTTCACCTTAAAATGCCTAGTGTACTCATCAAAGGAATTTAAAGAACCTAGAAGTCCAGGGGTACTCTGAACTCCTTGCTCACCTACCCGTCTTGCAAGAAAAGCAACCTTACATACTGCAAGCTTCATAGATATTTCGGAACATCAAGAACAGATGATGAGTCAGTAATATATGAATTCTAACCTCAGAAGGCTCTAGAGAGTTCTGAAATGCATTGAATAACTATCTGAAGAAAGAGTCGAATATGTCGAAATAAATTTGTATTGAATCCACAGGATTATCGAGAACAAGCTCGAAATTCCACTAGAAATAATCTTTGTACCGAACAATCGAATTTAGCAAAAGGTCAAATTTAAATCAAAGTATTTATATTTAAGCAAATCATGTTAATCATTTATTGTAAGTTTTATTGTAATTCAAATTCCTTAATGACTCACAGATGGTAATGTGTTATCTTTCCCATAGCCTTCGGGCAGTCTTCCCAGTCTCCCCGTTGCTTAGCTCATCCTCCTCACTAAATTGTCCTACTACTGATTGCTTATTTGGTTTAATTACCTCACCTCGAGCACTCGACTCAATTGTGCAAGTAAACCAACCTAATCCAATCCAATCACAACAAGGATTGCTTAAGTGTTGAAAATTGCCCCCAATTTTAATACTAAGATTTTCGAACCTAACAGCCAAACTTAAACATCTAAAAATTGTAAGAGTCTGCTATTTTGACATTCAGTCTTATGAGTAATTGATGTAATGAGAGAGTAAAGATTATCCGGAACGGAAACTCTTTACATACGGTAATCGGTGCTTGGTTATAAACCACTCCTGTTCTACAAGTTAAATAGAGGAATGAAGGTAGTTTTTCTCGATTGTACTTCGGAAGTTGTACACTCTCTCCTCTCCCTCAGATGTACTTCCTCAATTTTTCTAATAATAATTTCGATTAATGATAATTTTATCTCAATAAAATTAAGATTACTGTTAAACATTGCTACTTCACAAAGTACTCCCTATTTGGCTCTATAAATTACTCAAATCAGACCCCATTTCACGACAGGTAAGGTACAAAGCTTCCACTCAACGCATATAATCAAACTCATTTTCATTCTGAACTGATAGCTGGACACTTTCAATTTCTCTTCAGTCCAATTGAAGATCTAGTAATTAAAGCTAACATACAATAATCGGTGAAAAAAACTTTGCAAAACAACTCTCAAATCCACATAACAGCCAAAACATCTAGGCTTGATGGAATTCCATCTGAAATCTGAAAGCAGAGGTCAATTATTTAATTTCCATAAGCTATTATGCACTTAGAATGGTATCTACTACTGCAGAAGCATTTTTATCAAAGAGCCAATGCAGTTTTAGATTAGTAGAAGTACCATCAATGTTTGCAGAGCAGTTCATCGTCTACTCTCTATATCGATTCTAATCATGGTTTTCTGTCACCACTTGTCACCATCTCCTTGAATAGTTCATTACGCTAACAAGCAATTGACCACACTATTGAAGTTTTCCTACTTTAGGATATGAATCCTTATTTAGCAAGTCAGTCTTGAGGACAGATATCCTCTCCCTAAGATTTTGCTATATGATCAGTCAGCACACTGTAGTAGATATATCCCAAAAAACAGGTGCTAACAATCATTGAAGAAATCTCTTGGCCAAAGTTATATTGACTACATCAGTAGTCCATCCCGACCTCAAATCAGAACACATGAAAACTGTCACCCATAAGGACGTCGCCGTCTTTGAAAATGAATATCGTTAAGTGTCATGACGGAAGGACAAGCATTAAGAACTGAATCCGATGAGACTTTTCTTTGCATTTTTTGCAACATAATTTGACTTATCTCATAGTGTCCTTTTTAGCCACTGGCGCATTTGTAACAAACATAGATTAATACACAAATTTTCATTCTCGAAGCTAATGAAGCTAAGCTAAAAACGAAGCATACGGTGATAATGGCTTATTTAAGCATTTCATTTCGTCATAATAATTAGTACAACAAAGACGAAAATGTCAGATCCTTTAAATATAATATATATCCATTAAGTAAACAAATCCAAATACAGACACAAGAATGAAAATTGGAAAAACGATAACAAATATACATGTAACCAGTATAACAGTAAAAATATTAGTTGTCAACACTATTTAACTAAGTAAGGCACCTAAAAAAATAAATAATATTATCAATATTATCATATCAATATTATTGTTTATATTATATATATAAAACAAAACATTGTGTTATACACATATATATTCATTTTCTTTCTAAGTAATATGTTTATCGTATATAACTATTAAGTAATAAAACAAAAATACAAACATAACAAATAATAAAATTATTAAAAGGACTTAACAATTTCACTGCTAAATTAAAATTGCATTAAGAAAAAAGAGCTTTCAGCGTGCACAAAATTTAGAAAAATCAAGAAAAGATATATAATATTTTATGGTACATTTATTTTGTCAAATAATATGGCAACCGAAGAAAAGAAGAAAAAACCCGTTACTAATTATTAATTGAATGATATGTTATAAAATTGCTAGCAAAATAAATTATTAAAGAATAGAAAATTTAAAAGTTTCATTTTCAGCTATATCATATGAAATAGTTTTATTGCTAATTTTAACAATATAATTAATAGCTTTTGTTAATTTCTACTTCCATTATTTGTTTTTTCTTTCATTTTGCTAGAATTTGTTCATAAATTTTTGTAATTTGATTTTTGTTTCCAATTGTACTAATATTTGATAAAAATTTATGCTGATTAATTTAGGCTGAAATTAATTTGATTTGTGCTAATAAATTTGGCTGAAAAAGAAATGATAAATTAATCATGCAGTAGTGAATTAAAGCATGAAGCAAATTTTTAGACATAAAAGAAAAAATAAATCAACTAATAATATATGTCATTATTATTATTATTATTATTACTACTGATATGTTATTAATATTATTATTATTATTATTACTAATATGTTATTAATATTGTTATTATTACTATTATTATTATTATTATTTCCGTACTAAAAATCGCCATTGTTGATTTACAATAGAATATTTGTCATTCGTCCGAATCGTATCATAGCTCTTCTGCAACAGAATTATATTATAAATTATACTGTGATAAAGTATTATCACTTAAATATCATTTCTTAAAGTTTGAATATCAAAAATTCTGTGATAATTAATTTGCTACCTTCTTAAATGAAATAAACGCATACTTTCTTAACTTTCATAATTAATACACATCTCATAATTCTATAATGTAAAAATTATAGAATTGATAGTTTTTTCTTTTTTTGTAGCATTTACAATTGTAAACTTTTTTTGTGCCAAAAAATTAAAAAATTTATTTAAAATTTTGAGATAATTAATTTGTTACCTGTATATTGCTAGTATAAGATTTGTTAGGTTGCGAATCTTTTTGGCAAATGTATGGCGCAACTATTCGACAACAACTTTGAAACCATTCACCGCTTGTGACATTCATTTTTGTGCATGGCCTAATTAATTTACTTACTGGTATTTGACCTAAAAGTTTTACCAATATTTTAATTCAGGTTTTTTTTTAATTTTTTACAGTTCAAATTAAGAAAAAGCACATTGATTTTTACAAAATAAATTCAAATTAGTAAATTATAAGCTAACGCTCAAAGCAGTATTAATCACATGATAAATAAGATAAAACTATTAGATATTAATTATTAATTCATAAAAAATTCAACCATTTTTTTGACTATGAAGAATAAAAAAAATTTGCAAAGACTTTATGAAATATATTTAAAAAAAAAAAAAAAAAACTTTCGAATTTATTATATTTATTAATTATGGTGAATAAAAACTTTTAAACGATAAATAATTTGAAAATAACCATTTTTCCAGCCTTTAAAATTGAATGGTGTTTTATCAGACCATTCAAATTGAGCTGTCCTTCCAAATTTTGCACTACCAAGCCAAACTTCAGGCGCATCACGAGCTATTTCTAAAATAATTAACAGTTAAAATCAAATTAACATTTTTAATCTTACAATCAAATTTAAATGTGGGATTATATCAATGGGAAATGATATATTTGTCAATTGAAATAATTTTAGTTTGAAAATTTTGAAGTTTTCTCACTAATTTTGTTTTTATTTTTTTCATTTTTTAAAATTATGACGTTAATCTGAATTTTCATTATCGATCTTATTTCTAATTCATTTCAAATGGAAATGAAAAATTAAAAAAGTAGATGAAAATGAAAAATTAAAAAAAAAAAAGATTATTTGTAGTTATATTATTTTACAAGTATTGTATTTCAGATTGGTTTATAAATTATTTTATCAATATTATAAATAAATAAAAACGAAAAAATAAACAAATGTATTACCTTTAGCAAATCGATTCTCTCTCGAATTATGTACTGATAATTGATGTCCATTTTGTATTAGACAATGAAATTCAGCTTCAGTCCAAGTTATTTTTTTAGGAAAAATTTATAACATTTTTTGGAATGTGGTGAAAATCGCCATCCTTCATCACATATAGCGCATAATGCAACTGAAAATAATTCACTAATCGATTTTTCAAAAATTTTCCAATTTTTATTTTTATTCTTTGGCAATTTTTACAATCAGTCATTCAAAAAAAAAATTATAATGAAAAAGTGCAAAGTGTTTTATTAACAGAAATAAAATAGTGAAAATATTGAATGACATGTTTCATAAATGTCCAATAAAAATGATTTATTATAAAATTTGATTATTTAAATTTGACCTTCCGGATGTCACTTCCGGAATAACTGTTTTTTTTTAGTATCAGTGTGACATGTGATAAGTTCTAGCTGATAAAAGCATGACAACGGAGTACTGACTTTTCATTTAATAATAAAAGTTGAATTATTTAAATTGTGGACATGAAATTTAATCCATGTACATAACTTTACTTTACTCCCATATATGAATATTTAAATAACAATTTAAATAAATATTTTAAATAACAAATTTAGATTTTTTTATTATTTATATGAACAAAAAAAATTTTTTTCTCGGAATATTAATTGTTTACTAAATAAATAAAATTATATCACTATACAAGATCAAATTAATTAATTAATCAATTATTCATGGATAAGTTGCGTTTTTGAATGTGTTTTAAAAAAAAACATTGAATAAAGCATGATTGAATAAATTTTTTTCAAATATTCTATTATTTTGTTATCCTGACTAAAGAATTCTAAGTTATGAATTGTAAAGGAATAAGAAGTGAACAAAAAAAAAAAATCTTACCAGTAAAACATATCGTAAATAAGGCAATGCTATAATTATTCATCGTTTTGTTGATTTACAAATATTTTTTTTGATTTCGCTGAAACTAAATTTTCAAATTGACAAAACTATTTATAAATGCGCAAATGTACGTATATCAGTGACAAATTTTGGTAAAAATATGTCATTTTTTGCTGCGAAACATCTATTTATATTGCACAATAAATATATTAATATTTTGTTGACAAAAATAAATTTTAATACAAAAAAAACTGCAATTAAACAAATTGTATTAATTTAAAAATTAAAAATTTT